CCTGGGCTCAAGCAATCCTCCTGCCTCAGCCTCCCGAGTAGCTGGGACTACAGGCATGCGCCACCATGCCCGGCTAATTTTTTTGTATATATTTTTAGTTGTCCAATTAATTTCTTTCTAATTTTAGTAGAGACAGGGTCTCGCTCTTGCTCAGGCTGGTCTCGGACTCCTGACCTCAGGCGATCCTCCCGCCTCGGCCTCCCAGAGTGCTGGGATCACAGCCTTGAGCCACCGCGCACAGCCTAAAAAATATTTTTAAATTGAGGTATAATTTACATGCAGTGAAATGCAAAGATTCTGTTACAGTTCGATGGGTTTTGACCAATTTATGTACCTGTGTGACTGCCACCCGGATCAAGACGTAGAACACATTTCCAGCACCCTAGAAAGGTGTCTGTGTCCCGCCTCACAAGACTGCATAAACTAAAAAGAGATCCTTCCTCAGCATTAGAACATGCAGTTAATCTTCAGTCTGTCCGTCCAACTATCATCTGTCTTTTCATAAGGGTACGCGTTTCCCTCCGCGTACAGCTTTGGCTGCATCCCTCAGGTGTTCATGGGGACGTAGACTGCCTTCTCTTACTTTCTGAGTCCATTCTTCTTCCGGTTTTGATTTCCTCTTCGATCCAGAGGTTATTTAGGATCTGTTTAGAAGCGAGCTGTAGTTCCGTTTCGTTGTTGACAAAAGTAGCAGCATCGTGTTCCTGGTTCTGCCGCTCGGTCTGCCGAAACGACAGAGCACTGTGGACCGGCAGCGTCGCAGGACGCGCAGATCCGCCCTGGCGTTCCGAACGGCTGGGCTGCCTTTGTGAACCACGGACCCTGTCCGTCCTGTCTAATCACGCCGAGTGCTGCCAGCTCAGTGAATGAAACACCCCCCGCCCCCCCCCAGGGACTTTGAACTTGCCCTGGGGGTGGGCAGAGAAGGATCCGGAGCCCATGCGGTGTTCTGAGACGGGAGGGAGCCGTGTGCACGGAGCTTTGTCTCCTCCCTGCTCTGCGGCCCTGCGTCTGACCCTCCCTCTCCGAGAAGGTCCCCCAGGACGGTGACCTGCCCCAGCTCACACGGCCCGGGAAGAGCAGGGGGAGAACTGCAGCCAGGGTCCACGCGACGCCTGAGCACCCACTGTGCGCCGGGGCGGGAGGGCCGGGGGAAGTAAAACAGCCCGTGCCCAAGGAGGGAGAAGAGATCAGTATCGGGAGGAGGTTAATGAACAATCCGAGGCAGTTTACGCCAAGGGTGGGCACATAGTCCAACCCGGGAACGCCGCCGCAGGTCAGGGGGAGAGCGGTCCGTGGGGACTGTGGGATCAGCCGGTTAACCTTTTCCGTGCACCCATTTCATGGATGAGGAGACTGAGGGCTGCGCGGGGCATTTATGAATGTGGGAAGATAAGAGCCGTTGTTGGCTCTGTCCCCAGCCCCCGAGCTGCACCCGCCGTTCCCTGGCTACGTAGAACTCCCCTCGCGGGGAGGCATTTGAGGACAATGTTAATGTCTCTGCCTTAAACTTTTTCTTTTATTTCGAATTTTTTTTCTATTTTTAGTAGAGACGGGGTCTCGCTCTTGCTCAGGCTGGTCTCGAACTCCTGACCTCAAGTGATCCTCCTGTCTCGGCCTCCCAGAGTGCTGGGACGACAGGCGTGAGCCACTGTGCCCGGCTAGTTTTTC